ATTGTATGAGGCACACTGTGAAAAGTTTTACTGAACTAGAGGTGAACTATGTCCACAGCATTTCTCTCTTCTACTGGTTTCAGTAATTCTTTCAAAAAAGGAAATGAGGTTAGCCAGGAGAGACCTGTTCATGATGAAGCCATGATGGCATCCATCTTCCTGTTCTATATATTTACCCTCTACCTCCTTAACGATTCATTCTAGAATTTTCACAGGTATCATTCAAGTTCAAAGACCTATATTTTTTCCGTACTCTGTTCTCTTCACTCTTTGAAAATGGGGGCAACATTCACCCTTCTCCTATCTTGTAATATCTTTCCTAGTTTTCTATGATATTTCAAATGCTACTGTCAGTGGCTCAGCAATCACATCTTCCAGTTTTCTTAGTACCTAAGAACATAGTTGAACTGGGCCAGGTGTCTTGAATTTATCAAGAGCAGCTTGGGGCTCTCTTACTATCCTGTTAGTGACTTTTTATTGTCATTTCCAGGGCAAAGGTCACTCTCCTTGGCAGATAAAACAGAAGCAAAACAAGAATTAAGCATTTCTTCCTTTTTTCCATTATTGGTTGTCATCTCATTCATTCCAATCCAGTTCCTATTCCTTTTTAGATCTTCCTTTTCTTCCTAACATAGCTTTAAAAACCTACCTGCTGCTAGCCTCAGCTCATTCTGAGCTTTCACATTACAGACATGCTTTTTACAGCACTATGCCACATTATCAAATTCACCTTCCTCCGTTATCTGGCCTTGTTTTCATCTTCTGTACATTTCTTTTTAAAAATCTAAGCTAGTTGGCAATTTCCCTGTGTAGAAACATTAGTCCCTTCAGACAAATATTTTTCCTCTATCTTTCCTGGAATTACTTCTCTGTATGTCTTCAGAATTTCCTTCTTGACTATTTCCCATCCCACATGGTATGACTTCCCCAATATCACTTTACTCCATATTATTCAACCTATATTTCCTCTGAACCTGGTAAAATCTGCTTTCCCCAAATCTTGGGAGCATGTCAGACTGTGCCCAGCTTAGGAGGCAAGGGTCATTTTTTCCATAGAGTGTCCCAAATTCCCATACTAGCAACTAGTTCCTCTCAATTAGTAAGAATCATCAGATCTAGAATAGAGTATTCCCTTGTTGATTCTCCTACTTGTTGGTTAAGTTTGCCTCCTTACATTAGAAACTATGGTCCCTCTTATTCATTAACTGTGGCTATTTTTTATATAAATACTTGAGGTGATGGATTTTACTACTGGACCCCTTCTTAGAGTTTACCTCCTGTGGACTCCAGGAAATTTAAATATTATTATTCATTCTTTGTAACTACTCTCCATGGTATCTAACTTTGGGGATATACACAGATGGTCTTATCTCAGCCTTCCACTTTTTAAAAATACAGTTTAAAGTCCTTTTGCTAACATTTGCAATTCACCTGGCTAATACGTTCTTCCCAGTCATTGTGAAGTATACACCATTTCTGCCATCCCTGTACTTTAAGTCCAAAACTTCAAGTCCCATTCTCATATGTTACATCCTTAGTCAGCTGTTTACTTCTTAAATTAAACTTTGTTTTCTGTATCCCTTACCTTTAATCAGCAAAGAGGAAAAGGCAACCTTTCCCCCTGTGATGTTCAGTTTCCTGCCCAGGACTTCATAATCATTGGCAATACTTTTTTTAGTTCCTTCTGGTACTATCATTTGTGCCCATATAAATTACCAGAAATGGCTAGTTGTAAATGGTTTTGATAACACTTGAAATGTTATCTGTTAGAACTGTGGTGATAAAAATTACCTAACCTACAATAAGAGAAATTGAGGCAGAGCTCTGAGCCAATAGCACTTTATTAAAGGGTTTATGGCCCCCTCTAATGAAGTGGACCTCAGATCTTCTTCACAATCTGAGATGCTCTCTTCCTTTTAGGGGCCTATTTTTATAGTTTGATATGTAAATATTCAAGAACAGCTATACCAGATATAGAATAATTTCATTGGTTGACATATGATGCATAAACTAAAATCAGTAAAACAATATATCAGCAGGGTCATGAGTTGAGCAAAGCAAGGAATTCTCCACTGACTAGGTGGTCATAAGGTAGTCATAAGGTAGTCATAAGATGGTCACAAGATGGGCACCTGCTCATGTTGGACAAGACAGAATGGTCTGGAGGTACAGAAATTATTTTGGTGGACTTATCATGTAGTTGAGTCACCTTTGTCACACTGGGCTTAGCTACCACGACAAGGAAAAACAACAATGGAGGGCCTCCAGCCAGCTTCCCATATTTACACAAGTGATCTTACCATCTGCAGCTCACAGCTCCAGGGCCAAATATACAGAACACAGAACTTATAATCATATCAAGTTGATTGATACTGATTAGAATAGAGTAGGGGGTCTTCAATGAATCAACTTCCTCATTACATGTGCCCTAGGAAGACCACAGACCTCACTACTACTGCTAACAAGTCAAGAAAAATGTCCACTACGTCTCAGTAGAGAATCACCAACTAATGCTACCCTTTTCTTCTTTCTCTAACTTGAACTAGATAATTGCTCATAATAATATTTGTGACTACTCTATATAATTCCTTGAAGAACAAGAAGCTTCTCCCACCTCAGAGCATCCAGATCTTGAACACAGCCTGAAATCTGTTTTCTAAGTTCCAATTATACAACTGCCCTTTTTCCCCCCTCCCTTCCTCCTCTGTATAATATTCTTTCACTTTCTAACATTCTTATAAGGGTCAAGCTTTCCCCTTTCACCTCAAATGCTTTTATTTTTCCTTGTATCAATTTCTTTTAGGAACACTTTATCCTGAACCTGACAATCGGGAAAGTAGAGAAGCATTCTTTCAGGGAAATCATACTACATTGGGGATACAAATAACAGTTACCTAGTTGTAGCAGAAAGGCAAACATCATACATATAATGCTCTTTGTCAAATACTTTGGGGGTAGGGGTAGCGCTGACATTTTTAGACTACTGGATGGGATAATGTCAACTTGCGAGAAATTATGTTAAAGCAAAGATACTATATATCTTTAAAAGTATAAAAGTATGAATAAAAAAGTAAAACAAGAAAAGTGGTTTAAGATCTAAATCAGTTTAATTAGGGCTGATAATTAATAACAATGATTAGAAAAGAAGCATAGAGCTACTATAGTCGTGGAAAAGCTACACCCATGGGCAAGTCACTTAACCCCAATTGCCTCACCAAAATAAACAAAAACCCCAAAACTTCTGGGGCAGCTAGGTGGTGCAGTGGATAGAGCACCGGCTCTGAAGTCAGGAGGACCTGAGTTCAAATGTGACCTCAGATCAAACACTTGACACTTACTAGCTGTGTGACCGTGGGCAAGTCACTTAACCCCAACTGCCTAATTAAAAAAAATAGAAGACAAAAGAAAAATCTACACCCAAAAGCAACCCAAAGTAGCATTTATGAGGCTGAAAGAAGAAATCAAAAAGGAAATGGACAGATGGACTTAGGTCTAAAGATAAAGATAACAAGAACATCATCTTTTCAGCTTACTTCATAATATCTTATCAAAGGTTGTTTTTATTGTTTGTCTGTTTACTTTTTACAGACACCTTTATAAGTGAGTATAGCAGCAAATTGCCCAAAACATACTTAAAAAAATACCAAAATACTTTTGCTGGCTTTTAGACAGCACCACTTGAAACATGGGCGTTACAAAAATACAATCAAATGGAAACAAAAACATATCCTACCAGTTATTTTTATTAAAAGGAGCAAAGCTATACCAACTCCATACTATATAATGTATAAGAAACAAAATATCTGAATTGATAATGAAAGAAACAAAATATTTTAAGTCATTTTTTTAGAATGACCCTCAAAAGTAAATGTAGGATTATTAGAAGAAAAAGTAAAAAAGGTTTAAAAAAATATGGAATTATCTACGAAGAACTGAATTAGCAGAAAAGAAACTGACATTAAAAGATAATGTCCCATGCAGCCTTGAAAAAATTTCAGTTTGATAATATTTCAATAACAATTAAAATATGAAACTCTACAAGTTACTAAAAAAGCAAAGCGAGATTCAGGTTTTTTTTCTAATAAAAAAGAGATTAGATTTCTTATCTTAATAGTTCTAAGTAGAGGTATAATGGAGAATTATAATTCTCTAAAATTATGAAAGGAAATGAGGAAATGTTTTATGAAGAAATTACAAATATTCATAACTTTTAAAACTCAGTAATCCTCACACATAAATTGTTGGGTTTGATTTAATATATAAGTTGTGACAAGATGGCTTCCAAAATAATGAAATGCCCTAAATAAGAACAAGAAGAGGTTAATTGCTAATTAGGGAGTTGAAGAATGGGTTATAAAAGGGTAATTGGTGAAATTGTTACATGTGTTAATGGTTTAGCTATTGGCCTTAAAAATCATCAAGGTCTAGATAGCTAGATGAAGGGGAAGTATAGTTGATTTCTATTTAAAAATCCACATACATTAAACTCAAGAGTGGCAAGATAGTGTTTATAATATTATTCCTTTAGGGAAAATATATGCAATTCATCCCCTACAAATTATTTATTGGTTTTAAATAGTAATTTCCTATGGAAACCTTGATTAAAATGTGTAATTTAGATACATGAACACAAAGATGGCTATATGAAGCTAATCACTCCTAAAAGATTTTTCCAAACCATTTCCCTCTGTCCTATTTCCTCAAAAGATGTGATTAACCACCAATTCTATTCATTTCATAATCAGGCTATAGAATTAAAGCTTATCACTTGGAAAATAATAACAAAATTCTTTGAGGAAATGAGCTTGCAGCTTCATGTGAGCAGATACTTTTACATGATCAGCAATAGCATATCACCTTATATTTTATTTTTACTCTCTTTTGTAAGGAAACATGGGCTTTTGGATTAAAAATACACAATACTGAATTTAACTAAAAAAAGAAAAGGCCTCACAAAAACTTTAACATAGAAAATATCAAAAACAAGTTACTTCACTTACCTCATAATAACTTCGAACTGCATTACAAAATGCTTCATCTGCTACAATTTGGGTTTCTCCATTAAGGAAGGCCAGAAATCGTTCTTTTAATATCTGTAACTGTTGTTTATTAAGCTGTAAAAATGACAGAAGATAGGAAGAAAGTTAGCTGCTAAAGCCCAATGCAAAGATACTGAAGTGGTTTAATATAGGGTAAATTTTACAAAAAGAATAACAATGTAATGTAGAAGTTCATAAAGGAAAATAAAAATTTCCTGAATATTTTCTCCATTTTTTCTGGTTCAATTCAAAATACTTATATTACCACCATAAAAGCATTTTATAATACACAAGTACCTCTGTCATATAACTACTTCAGGATCTTGTCATAGTATCTCTTCTATCTCCAAAATTCTGAAAAGGCAATTTACATATTCTGAATTATAATGTTTATAGGTCACCAGATACAGCAAAATATCAAACGATTATTCATGAGATTAAAACTAGAAATGAGATTTTTAATATTTTGCTACCTGGAGTTCCATGACATATCATTTTTAAGCTTGAATGGATTTAAGATTCTTGAAGCAATGGATTGCCTTGCTATTTCGAGATTCTCTAGATCACATCCTTTTGATTACTTTGAGTACAATACACAAATATCAAATGAGGAATGATAAAATATAACCAAAATTATTTTTAAAGATCTGGCATCATGATTTGAAATGAACATTGAAGTATGAATCAAACTATCTGGAGTTGAAGTTTTAATTTGCCTTGGGGAAGAAGCTAGACTTTGGTTTCCTCACATGTAACATGAGGAAATTATACTATCTAATTTCAATGATCCCATCTAACATGAACATTCTATGATCCTATAGTAATCAGCCATGGACAACTACAACATGAATTTGGGTAAGAAGTTGCACTACAGATAATAAAGCAAGTGTTGGAATGCATAAGGGGGAAATAGAAAAAAAATATCCCATCATAGAGAATTCTGTACAATTCTAGGCTCTATTACCAGAAAGAAATACAGTGAGTTTGTAGATAGCTACAAAGATGATTAAAAGTTTGGAAAATAAAATGTATGTGAAAAAGCTAAGGGAAGCTGTATGAATTAGCCTAGGAAAGATGACTACACAAAATCAATTTAAATCTACATTCAAAAATCCTACTAAAATTCTATTCATATATGATGTTCTGTATTATGGGATACAACTTCTTTCACAAGATGCATTTCTAAAGAAACTTGACAGAGAAGGCAGTTTATAAAGAAGGTGTTGCTAGCAGCAACAGGCTGATTAAAAAAATGCCCTATTCTACACAGATTAGTTTAAACAAGCTCTAGGCTGAGCACAAAAGAAAGAGCTATTTCACTCTTCTACTAAGATTAGTTCACAATTTTTTTTTTGATATGGGGAGAGAAGCAGATACTTTTATAGCCTCAGTGACATCACATTATACATTCTTCCCCCTCTCTCTTAAAGAAGCAAGGGTTTTGGTACTAGAAAGGCAAAACTATCTTTCTTTAATTAATTCAAGCAGCCTAATAAAGAGTACAAATTATCTGTTGTCAAGACAGACCGATGACAACTAGATGTTGAGGGATGAATAGACTACATTACTTTGATGTAAAACTGATCTAGTTAAGATAAGACCATCAGGACAGATTTTTGGCTCTGTCTTCATACTCAAAGTCAGTTAAAAGTAGAAATGTTAAATATTGGTGACAAATGGTGAATTAGATTAATAAAATTAACTTAGTGAATTAGAGTGATAAAATTTTAGAGCCAGAAGGGCCATTTTACAAATTAGGGAATTGATGCCCAATTTAATCCAAACTAATCTCAATTTGTCATGCATTTATTAAGCACTTAGGATGTACAAAACACTTCTAAACACTGTGAAAACTACCAAATCTGAATAAGACTCAGTTCTTGCATTCATTATATTGTGCAATATATTCTTACTTGGTAATATTTTGTCACCCATTCATTCCCATGATAAGTCTCTCAATTTTCCTTTAAGTGACCTTTAAGTGATTTTTTGAACAGTGACAATTATTCACTCAAAGAGTGATTCTCTATAGATGGTGGGGTCCCCAAGATGATCCTTTTTGAAACTGACATTGCACTGGTTTATCTAGTCTTGGAGCATTGGTTCTATTCTCCACTTCTGCAAAGGACCTGCCATTGCCTCAATGTTGATTTTCACTTCAATGATGTAGGTCTGGATTCATTTTTGTCTGCACATTCTCTTAGTCTCTGTGTCAACATTCCACCGTAAGTTCACTATAGAGTCCATCCAATGTCCTGAGAGCCACCCTCACACTAAAGGAACACTCAGTCTCTCCACCACGTATCACTTTTGTCACATGACAAACCCATCTTCTTTTTCAATCACACATTTCTTTGATGTGCTTTACATCCCTTCTACAAAATACTTGTTTGTACTGTGTTACATCCTACACATGTCCATTGTTCACCATTGCTCTTTAGATTTTTTTATTCCTCACATTCTTCATTCAATTGTGTGATGGTAATGATATAGTCTATTGTGGAATATCATTTGCAAAAGTCTGCCCGTTCTCTTCTAATATGTTCTCAAAGGCTATTTTCAAAGATGTATAAATAATCTAAAAAAAAAACTTGATATAGATGGAATACTAGGTTTACTCATCAGTAGTTACTGACATTTTGAATAATGTCAGATTTTTTATGTCTTTGATATCTTGCCCTCCTTTAGGTACCTTGAGAACTGACCCCTTGACTCCTCAAAATGGTGTAATCAGTTTCACAGAACTTCTCTCTATATGTTTAATTGGTCAAGTCAAACTGCTTTTGCTATCTTTGTTTTCTACTTTCTCTACCAGTCAATTTCCAGGATTTTAATAGTAGAGTACAAATATAGCGGCTCCCCTATCTTTGATGGCAAAAATAGTTTGATATAGAAGTCTGACTATATTTTCAGTACTGTGTCCATTTATTGTTCTTCTAATAGCATTCTTGAACGTCCATGGGATGATTTTGCTTAGTTGAGTTTCTTGCAGGGGTATGCTAGACTGAACTGTTAAATTTTCACTGTGAGCATTTATACCTTGAAAATCAGCAATGCTATAAATCAGGGCTTGATTTATTATTTTGCTTATTGACTAGCCTTAAGAAAGTGATAGGAAAATATATTAATAATGAAGATTAAACTTAAAAGTATACATCCTATATATATTTTTCAGAGCGTGGGTTGTTAAATATTTACCAGGACGCCCCCATTTTCTTCCCAAAACTTCTTTAAACTGTATTTTCTTATCATTTGTTCCCACTATTCCATGAGATGATATTCCTCTACCCCAGGCAAAGGCATTGCAAAGCCCAAAAATTCACAAAAGAAGGAGTCAATGAAAAAAAAGTAGTCATATCTACACACAAATATACAAAGCAAAAGTAACAAGCAAGGTAAACTAGAAATTCTTTAGCCTCATAACAATTACCAAAACTTTGTAGAATAGAACTTATTATGGTATTAATGGCAGTGTGTTTGGAACTGGGGATCAACCATTAAAATTATTTGCCAAAGTAAATTGTATTATATTCCCTGGGAATCTTTGAAATTGGCAAAAGTCATGGCCTGTTCAAATCAATTCATCAAAAATTGATTCGGGTTACTTAGTTATTATCCTTTCTGGAGACAAAACAATGATCAGTTGACCTCTAGATATTGCTTCCAGGTAATCTGAAGACTTGACTGAATAGCTTTAAGTGACACATTCATTTTTTAAACAATTCCCCTTTCCTCTAAAGAAGAAAACGTTCTCAGTTATTATTATTATTTTATATCAATTAACAAGATTTCTAACTTTTATTCACTTACTTCAAAGCTTTAATAGCTTAAAACTCTAAGATATTTTGAACATTAATTATAACTCTTTAAATACTAATCTGTTTAATTCTAATCTAGACATCTCTACATCTTCTAAACAGGATCAGCATAATTTACTTGGTCAAAAGTTTTACTAAAGTCTAAGTTGGCTGTGTCTCTGTCATATTGCCATCATTTGCCAGTCTAATAACCCTGTCAACAAGGTTAGTTTGGCATGAATTGTTAATTATAAAAAAAGCACGTTTTCTTTGAACATTACCTCCTTTTCTAGATGTTTATTAGTTATCCTTTTAGCAGGTTCTAGCCAAGCTCAATAATTTGCAGACTTAACTGTCTTTTCTTAAAAATCAGAGTATCATTTGCAATTATCACATCCTATGGCATCTCTTTAGTTTTCCACAAACTTTCAAAGATCATTAACAAATGACTTAATCATACACACAAATTCATTCAGTTTGTTGGGATGTTGTTCTTTTGGATGAATGACTTGTTCTGGCAAAATGAGGTATCTACTTACATTGGGCATCAACTCTCAACATAGTCATTATTGTTCTACCTTTTCAAGTGAAAAAGAAAAATCTTTTTATGACAGAGAAAACAAGCAAAATTAGAGTGTACCAGCTCATTCTTTTATCCATCATCAGTTGTAATAATTTCATATACCTGTGCAGAAGTCCTATCACTTCTTTGACCTTCCTATTTTGCCCTAATATAGCTTTCTGTCATTCTTAACTTTCCTCATTTTTTTTCAGCTCATTCTCAGCCTTGGCATTGTTTACAATGCTCTAATAGGGCCATTCTATATTTTTATTTACTCTAAGTTACCTGTTCTTTCTCCAGTCTTCTGTACATGTCATTTTAAAACCTAATTTGATTGATAATTTCCTATGCATTTGCATGAGTCTTTCTAGACCACTCCCCCTTTGTCCTCCTCTTTAGAACTGTGTTTCTTCATTAATTCTTCATATGTTCAAAATCTTATTCTTCAGAGAATCTCCTCATTCCTCATCTGACTTCTCTGCAGAATATTTTTTCACAGGATCTTCTCAATGCTTCCTCTGAATCTGCTCTTGCAAAGTTTAGGATTTATGTCAGACTATTCCTAAATTTTTTTCTCTTATTCTACAATAAAGTCTAATTGAGTGGTCATTTGTCCCTAAGTTTTTCATCTTCCACTCCAGCAAAATTAGTCTTTTTTAGTGTGAATTATATCTAGAAAGATGATTTTTTTTTAAAATGAAGCTAAAAATATTAGT